CATGCATAAGAAGAGGGGGAGAGGTGACAGAGTCAAAACTGCACACAGACAAGGATAAGCAGGGGAATTCAACCATGCACACATGGGGGAGGTCACACAATGACTCTCACTCTCCGACAAACTCCCAACAAACAATCACAATAAAGAACCTCAACAAGATCACAATTGATATGATGTTGATGATGAGCCAACTCGAACGAATATCATAACAGAGTTTGTTCCAGTCCCTTGCTCCCCAATCGATTTCCCTCATTCTACTAATAAAGTACAGTACTCTAACCTACACCTAGACCGGACTGACTAACCGACCAATACCATTGCAGTTTCGGCCTCTCGGCCTCTCCCGGACACGACTATAGGCTATAGAACCGTCTATCAGCTTAGGCCATTAGGGTCTGTCTGTCCTGGGGGTAGTCCGGGCCTGCTATTCGCAGCAAGGGTACGTATAGGAAATTCGAAATACTGTTGGGCCTATATTTCCCATATTTACGAATTTTCCTCACAGGTTCGTCTCACGGTTAGCCCTCAATCGAACAAAATTACAAATGTAACCCTACGGGGTAGTATACAGCCTCGCCATCAGTTTTTGCAGTCAGACTGAGCAAAAATAGATATATATACAGGCAAAGAGACGGACAAACGAGAATCACATACATAAATATATATGACATAATGTAGCGTAACAAACAAGACACCATGAGATGTGTGTGAACAACGGCATGCCCAATGAAATTCGGATCACCAGACCAATGTCAGGTCAACGATAAAGCCATTCAACCAGTCAAACGTTGAACAACTTTATATCGTCACCCTTAGATTCGGAGCTCGATGTCTGGACCCAATCATCACATGCAGGCACCGTATCGTCCTCCACGTGACCGATGATGAAAACACGGTTATCCCCCACCGCCTCATGGTCGGAATCGGAGGCAGCAGCATCAACGACTTCCACTTGGTCGCCCCCACTGTTGACGAACAGATCACGCGGCAATGGCCCGGCTCCATAAGGACAAACCTCCTGTCGCAGAAGCTCTCGAGCCCACTCTGAAACATGAGCCGAACCGAACACGGACGCCGCCAATCTGTCCTCCCAACAGTCGATGGCCTCGTGACCGTAGTGTCGACGGAAGCCTGGTCTCGCATGTATGGAAGTGCCCGCAACAATGCGAGCAACATACTCGATCGGGTCGCGCCTACAGTGACTGTTCCACCGAATCACTGCGATCGACAAACGTGCACAGTAAGACTTCTCGAAATGCACCGACTTCTTCGCATAGATGATGATGGTGCCTGAAAAGTCTCCACTCGACGTAGTACGGTGTGATGTTAGTGCTGCGTTGTTTATCGAAAACACGCAAAACGAGCTCGTAGACCGTATCCGTGCGGCTATACAAAGGCACTCGTGCACGCCCACCGGCCTTCTCGCACAGAACCTCCCTACCGTCGACACATCCCGAATGATCACCAGCCCAATGATCGGCGACGAACATGATGTCGCGGTGTAGACTGTCCGCGTTTCCGCCCTCCTCGCTGCATAGCTGGCAAGCGCGGAGGAACCACATCCCAACATCATGCACATGATACTCTGTCATGCCGTCTGGATCAGTCTCCAACGCTCGAGCGTTCGACCTCGACCCGTAGGGGTACATATTTCGCATGATGACAGCGACGAAATCCGATTTCTTCATCCGCTCCTCAGCAGGTGTGAGGACGTCAGGTCCGAAACGCTGCTTCAACGCCTCCTTTAGCTGCTTCTTCGTGAACTGCATAAACTGCGCCTCTGACACACACTCGTGCGGGTTGCTCACTTTCTTCGCTTCCTTTAGTTGCAGCATACTGTGGAAGTGCTTGCGAATGTTTTTTATTTTGTGGTGGCAATCCTTCTGCCACTCGATGTTCATAGCTCGCAACTGCGGTCCCAGCGCGGCACAATCATCCGAGACAACGCACCGGATCTTCAACCCCTTCTCCATCAGCCCTCGCAAAAGTTGCACGACGGCTAGCACCTCAAGCGCATTTGATGCCTTGCCTTCAATCTTCGAACGGAGAGTGTGAACACCTACAACAAGCCGAGTCTCGTACTCCATCGCGGTGACAATGCAATGCTGCGCGCCTCTGGCAGAGTCATATCGACCATCAACCATCAATCTCACTGGCTCACCACGGCGTATCACAGTGTCAATGGCAAGCTCGCAATATTTTATGCCCTGTCGTACGACCTTGGCATTCCACCCCTCCGCCCCCCCCCGGTTCTGTGCGCATAAACTTGTAGAATGTGGGTTTGTGCACCGAGCACATCCCTAAACCAACACAAAAGTTGTCGAGGAGCGTGAACGTAAGGTCGGCAGTGACAGTCGCATGAAAGAGCTGCTGCATCAGTCGCGACTGATAGACGTTCATGGTCACGAGTGTCGTGTGCCACATCCATTTGCATTTCTTGTCGCATACGAAGGTCAGCTTACAGAGTTGCGCAGGATAGGAGACAGACTCCACAGACACACGGCACGAGCCCTTGTGCCACGGGCAATATAGATGAAACATGGCCAGCAATTGAAGAAGCTTGACCGACTCCAGAAACACAACATCCGGCGTCGTCGGTCCACTCCACAACACCATCGCCTCCTCAACACTGGCACGGTCAATTTCAGGCCCAGGACCGCACTGGTCAACACCTTCCCAACTATCCCACCACGTCTGCGGCCGGGCAGGTGTCGGTGTGCAGCGACCCGCGCTGCGGGGTCTGCCGCGCCCTCTGTCACTGCACTGCGATGTGCGACGCGATGACGGGAACGAGTTCTTCGATCCGTCATGAGACTCCCCCAACCCTCCGCTCGCTGAACCCTGCGAACCCCCCTGACCGTAGTCAACACCGGAATCGCCTGGCATATAACGCAACGTGAAATCTCGACCGCACACCCGAGATGGCAACAAAGAAGAAATCACATCTGCTACCTCGACACCAAACTCCGCACTGATGGCTGGCAAGGACCGGTGGAGCAGTCGATCAAAAACGTCGCTGACCGGTCCGCGATGGTCACCCACACCGGCCATAGCGTCGCGGAGAGCGTACAACCGTCTCTGACACACGTCCCGCACACACACACGCATGATGTTGTTGCCGCGCGAACACGGTGTGCCAACGACTGCCGCAGAGCTATCCACATCGTCAACAGGAGGTGTGGACTCTGGAGCGACAAAGGGAGCCTGTGGCGGCACCGCAAACGAACCCGCCGCCGCGCCGACGACTCGTGGACGTGAAACGGTTGGACAACGCCAAGCGTCGCTGCGATCTCCTGAAAGAGAACCGCCTCCAGCGGGACATGGCGGGGCCACCGCATGTGACCATACAGGTGCTAAAGGAATCGTGGCCGCATAGTCCAGCCGTCTAGGCAGTAGTGGGGATGGCAGCAACGGACCACCATACACACCTCCATACGCGGCCGCGTCACGAACCCCGGCCACACCCGGCGGAGAAGCCCCCAACACACCAGCGAAAGGCGAAATGGGTGTCACGCCCGGGCCAACGACGCTGCCAATCGCATGCGAAACGGTACCGCGGCGCCTTTTCCCTAACCGGACCTCCGGATCACCGTTGTGCGGTGAAACGCCCAACAACCCCCGCGCTACACATGGAGATCGATCGACGCTTTGACGAGGCTCGGGCGTCCCCTGCGGAGATCCCGCAATGGGCATGATCGAGCGGGGACAGCATCTCCGCCTGTCGGTGACATTGTCAATGTCAGGGTCTGCACAGCACCAAGAGTCAGACAAGCACGAAGTAAGGAGTAGGCTATATATATATATATTCAGTCAACGGAAATGTGTGTGTGTGTGTGTGTGTGTGTGTGTGTGTGTGTGTGTGTGTGTGTGTGTGTGTGTGTGTGTGTGAGAGAGAGAGAGA